TACGTACGTATACAATATGAGTATTAAACATGAAAATGGTAAATTATTTATACTAGTAATAACTCTGGAAAAGCAAAAACTCAAAAGAGGACAATAGAGACTCGAGTAATGGATAATGTTCTAAACTACTCTTATCGATAAACAAAAATCGGGGAAAAATAATTTTTTAAATAAAAAAATCATAGTATCTATGCCAAGAGTATAGCAGCACGTCTATGCTATTTATAAAAAATTAAAAATAAAAATAAAAACGACCGCAGTAAAACCGAAGGGCTATACTCTTTTTTATAAATAAAAAATCAAGAGTATGCATGACGCGCTTTCCTTATATAACATCTGACGAAGTCCTTGTAAGAATAGGAATGGGAAATAAGATTTTGGGCCAATTTCAAAAGGCCCAAGGCCAGGCCCTCAAAATTAGAATCATCTAGTTACTTCTTTTTGTTTTTGTTGTTGTTTTTGTTGTTGTTGCGTACTTTTATCACGTAAATAAGTTATAAACATATGAAACATACAAGTAGATGTGAATTTTTTAATACAAAGATAGTTTAATACCCATTCCTAGACATCAAACTATAAATAAACCCTATATTATTTAATGTATATAAACACACCCAAAATAAACCCAAACATCGACAGTTGTCGATTTTTTGAATTCAACATATATTGGATTACAGTTTTGCCCTTTTGGGTACAATTTTGAGAAACAGGCGGCTTAATTTTTTTAAAATCTTTTATTTAATAACAATTATGTTGTAGATTGAAGTGAATAAGAAGAAGAAGAGCATTGACCATGGCAATGCATGAGCTCATGACTCGTGGAGCAGCTTGTGCGGCTCTAGGCTCATCTTCTTCCGCCAATCCTTTCAGTGCTCTAGGCAACGCTCTTATCAGTTCTTCTTCCAAGAATTAGGTTCGTCGTCTTCCTTGTTGCTTCTTTCACTTTCAATTTCTCTTCTCTATTTCGAATTTTCAATCCTCAAGTGGCCTCAACATCGTCATTTTCTTAGGCTTTTGTTTGATTCAAGAGCAGGAAAGGTTGAAGGAGATACCTCATCCACGCCCACAGCTTATGAGCCGTAATTTTATCCAGACGCTCATGGCCACATGCTGCACCAGACCCTTTTCAATCCTCAAGTGGCCTCAACAGCGTCATTTTCTCAGGCTTTCGTTTGATTCACGAGCAGGAAAGGTTGAAGGAGATACCTCATCCACGCCCACAGCTTTTGAGCTGTAATTTTATCCAGATGCTCATTGTCACATGCTGCACCAGATATGAGAGAAGGCTCAAAAGGATAAGCTTAAGAAGAACGAATAGACCATTTCAAGGTCAGCTGAATCATATTGGTATGATCCGATTCGATTATCGCTGAAATTCGAAGCTCGTTGAGCAGTTTCTTTGCATTTTTGTAATTAATTTGAATATGTCTACGATTTTTTTCCTTAGTTTTGCATTTCATTTACAAATTGCGATTAATAAATTGATTAAAAAAAGAATCTAAAAATTACTTGCTTGCTTATTTGCGTTAGTTCTAATATGATTTGTAATGCTGGTACTATGTTTCTAGTTCTTAGCAAAATGGTTGAGCATCTACATAAACATTTACTGTTTGTATGATGTACATGCTAAGCTACTGTTAGTTAGCAATTTTTGTTTCAATCTTACCACTGATTTTGCTATTACAGAAGGATAATAATGTTGTTTACTTGCTAAAATTCATTTTTCAGTGGGTTGAGACCTATATGTTATCTAGCCTGGTTTTGCTATTGTATATATATTTTTTTTAATGTGAAAATATATTGTATTATGCCTTTCAGGATAATAAATCGTTAATAAGGGCACTGTCAAAGCTAGTCAATCTTAACAATCCATATCTTGTCTTGTTTGTTGGAGACGCACTGGTTGGAAATGATGTCGTTGATCAGCTTTCAAAGTTTAATAAGGTTTGAGCTCTATATTCATGGTTTTTTCTAATATTGTCCAATTAGGGTTTGTTTGTTGATTCAAATGCAGCTTCTTCTTCTTGTTGGAATTGTAAACTTTTATCCTACCTATTATGCAAATGAAATGATGTAGTTGCTAACTTCCAATAAGTGGTATGAACCATTGTTATACTGTTCATACTCTGCAATTGAGTTGATTTCTATGACATAGTATTAACAGTGTGCTTCTATGTCGTAGTATTAACATATTTTTAGTAACAAAGCATGCTCTATATTTTGCTATATATATATGTGCACTTGAAGTTTATGATATGCAGAATGTGATTTTTACTAGGAAGATGGTTCTATGACATAGTATTAACAATGTACTTCTATGACGTAGTATTAATAGTGTACTTTTTTTTCTTTTCTTGTAGAGGTATCTTGTTATTACTAGTATTCTTCTTCTAAAAAAATTTCATCTTTTAGTGTACCTCAAGGTCTTTTTTTATTTTATTTTATTTTTAACTGTTTTAAGGTTTTGGGTTTCTTTGTTAACCCCTTTTCATTTGGATAGTCTGAAAATTTGCAGTTTTGGCTTTGGTTGAACTATGATAAAAATGGTCGGGTTGTAAATTTCTCTGGTTTCTAATTTTGAAGATGTTTGGTCTTTTGTTGTAAACGATTTTGAATCCTCAAGTCCAGTACATGCCTTTTGTTCTGTTGCTTTGACACCATTTCTTATGACATGTTGATTTGACATAACTTGTTGCATTATTGGTTCTTGTAGTGGCTGTCATACAAAGAGTTTTTTTCTTTTAGGTATGTTTTTTTATTTGTAGGTTTGAGACTTGAAGTTTGTTGATCAATAACATATTTGTCAAGGTAGATACCCCTGCATAGATTATCCGTGAATAAAATTACAAGAATGTGTTCGTTTTAAAACTTTAGATGCTAATGCTGGATAATTGAGAGGAGCAATGTGGTAAATGTTGTACCAATATTTCATAATTTTTCAGCAATTTAGAACTTCTCCTTTGCAAAGCTTGGCCATTGCGAATTTGGCAATGCCAATGGATGCCACAACGAGCGGAACCCCAACTATACAATACCATAAGAGAGCATGTTGCTCTTCATTTGCACATAGTTTGGGTCATCCCATCTACTTGTTTTCTTGTTCGTTTTTGTTTTGGATGATGACTGTTGGCCTTTTGGTTTGTAGGTTGGTTTGGTTTGTTCTTTCTTCATCCTTTATTTGGTATACCTGCATTAGAAATAGCAACATGACAGTAAAGTAGCACTGTTAATATCCTATACTGGAACTTCATAATGGCAGACATGCATTAGAAATAGGATTTCATAAGGGACTAGCAGTGTTATTACCCTATACTGGAACTTTACAGTAGTAGACATGCATCAGAAATAGGATTTCATAGGATACAAGCAGTATTATTACCCAATATTGGAACTTTATAATGGTAGACATGCATTAGAAATAGGATTTCATAAGAAACAAGCAATGTTATTACTCTATACTGGAACTTTATAGCCATTAATCAACATGACAGTAAACTAGCGACTAAATTACTGACTAGAATAATGGTCCTATGCAGTCAGTCCAATAGTGAAATCCAATATAGTTTCAAGATTTTGTCCTTTATTCGAATCTAAAATACTGTTATTACTCTAGACTGGAACTTTATAGCAAATAATCAACATTACAGTAAATGTTTGGTTTTTAAATGTCTTACCTTTGAAGAATTTTCTTGTTGAAATTGTTCTCTGAAATTTTGTCTTGGTTTTGTAAGTGAAAGTCAGTGTGTGGTTTGTTTTTGAAAGTAGATCAAGCTTGGTGGTGGTTATGGAGTCTCGATTTGGACAGATGATGAAGACGCTTTAATGAAGATGGTGAATGAAGAGACATTTTGCAGAGATGGTTTAATGTAGGCGTGTGCTGGAAGTTAAGTTACGGTTTTCTTTTTCTTTTTGGATGAAAGTTTCGGTTTTCGAGGTGGTAAAATATTTGGACTTTTTTTATAAAATTGGGCTGGGGTTTTTTTGGGTGTTTTTTGAGTTTTTTGCTATTGGGCTTGATAGTGGTAGTCCTGTAATTTATAGAAACTTTAACGCTAATTTGTTATATAATAAATGGATTTTGGGTGTGTTTCTAAAGTACATTCTATGTGAGGTTTTTTTTATAAATTCAGCTCCTATTTTGGGTATATTAGTGAAGCTCCCATTTTTTAAAGGGTTAATGTCAATTTATATATTCTCTTTTCATTGTTAGTGATTAGCAATTGGATCTTATATCAACAATGACAATTATGTTGGAAACAAGAGCTTTTCTTATGGCAAGTATTTAGAAAAAAAACTGATAAATTGATAATAGCAGTGACGGCTGTTTAAATAGCCTTACAAAGAGTAACCTAAGAATGAAAGAACAGCCCACGTTTAACAAACCTATTACGTGGCAACAGACTAAGTCAAAACAAACATATACTCCCTAAACAATAGGGATTTATTAACCAAGCAGTAACACACTAACAATAATTCTAACTGCAACCTAACAATTCCTCCCTTAAATTGAATGCAGCTTGCAATCAATTTCCACAAGGTTCTGGACAAACACCTAACATACTTCGCAGCTTTACAAACGCATCCAACTTGAGAGGTTTTGTCTTCACATATGCAATTTGTTCTTAACTGTTGCAATGCACCATTTCCATAGTTCTGCCTTTATAAGATCACGAAGAAAATGGAAACGAACGTCAATATGCTTGCTGTTGTTGGTGTAACTTGTGGATATTGGCTTACTTTCCTTACACACCAAGAATTCCTATTATAATTATAATTGATTTACTTTAATTTTTGATTTCCTATTGTAAATAGATTTAAGAATTTATTATTTACTTGCTCATTCAGGTTTCGTTGTATTATAAATATGATCTCCTACAAGGAGAAGAATACATAGAAAATTCCCACAAACAAATATTCTCTCATAGTTTTCATATTTTAGCATGGTATCAGAGCGGCGATCTTGGAATTGCTGACTCTAGTTTCAAACCCCCGCCGCCGCTATGAGGGTTGATGATTTTTTCAACCCTCATGGAGGTAGCACCACCGACTCCTTCTCTCATTCTCAACCAACCATAGCCGAGTTGAGTGCCCAAATGGCTTAACTCCTACAGATGCAGACTTTGGCTACGAATTTGATCCTAAATCAGGATCCTATTTTGATGACCCCGAACCTGATCCGGAATCAGGATCCTATTTTGACGACCACGACCCCGACTCCAATGATGACCACGACCCCGAATTTGTCTATGATTTAGACCTCGATCCCGATTTCGACTTCGACTCCAGCCCCGACTCAGGCTCATATCTCGATCCAAATTCCTACTCAACCTGTATCCTATGCATCTTCCGCTGCACAGATTATGACTTCTCGACTAACAACCCTGACACATGGACTAGATTGCGCATATTGTGGTGATCCGAGACATACTCGTGAGACTTGTTTTAAATTGCATGGCTACCCCAATTGGTGAGCTACTCTTAAAGATCGAGGACAATGCAATACGACCAGTAATGGTACTGGTTATGGATTCCATACTTCCAATAAGATTGATTCCATGAGTTGGATAATTGATTCCGGTGCAACTGATCATATGACGTTTGATCCTGATGATTTTCTGAATACTACACAACCTCGACGAACCTGTATTGCAAATGCCAATGACGTTACTTATCCTGTGACAGGGGCTGGCACTGTTGCACTCTCATCCTCTCTCACACTGTCTAATACTTTACTTATTCCATCTTTATCCACTAAATTGTTGTCCGTTAGTCAGCTTACTGAACAATTGAATTGTTGTGTACTCATTTACCCAAGTTTTTGTTTGCTTCAGGATATTCACACTAAGGAGATTCTTGGTCGTGGTAGTAAGAGAAGGGGGCTATATTATGTCGATGGCTTCAGTCCTGGCATGACTAACAGTGTGACGCATCCTTTTGATAGCAAACAAAAGCAAATCTGGTTGTGGCACCGTCGATTGGGACATCCGTCTTTTAGTTATATGAAGCATCTTATACCAGATTTATTCTCAGGTTTCAAGGACTCCGACTTCACATGTGACACTTGTATTTTGGCCAAGAGTCACCATGTGCCCTACCCGTTGAGTACGAACAAGTGTACTACTCCATTTACGTTAATTCACTATGATGTCTGGGGACCTTCACCTATCACTGCTCCTTATGGTGTTCGATGGTTTGTCACATTCATAGATGATTGTACACGAATGACATGGCTTTATTTGCTGAAGAATAAAAATGAAGTCCTTTCCCATTTTCAGTCTTTCCACGAACAGATGAAAACTCAGTTTAATGCTCAAATCCAGATTCTTCGCTCCGACAATGGTGGAGAATTTGTCAATCATAACTTTCAGACTTACTTCCAACAACATGGAATTATCCATGAGACAACTTGTCCTCAGACACCGCAACAAAATGGTGTTGCTGAACGAAAGAATCGACATCTTCTTGAAACTGCCCGAGCACTTCTGATTTGCGCTCATGTTCCTCGCCATCACTGGGATTATGCTATTGTCACTACAGTTCACCTAATCAACCGCATGTCTTCTGGTGTATTGACCTTTAAAACTCCATTACAGGTGCTTGCGTAACACAGACCTCTGCCCTCTGTTTTGGTACTCACACCCTAAATCTTTGGATGTGTGGCTTTCATTCATTTCCACAAAAATCAACGTAGCAAACTTGATCCCTGTGCGCTTTGTTGTGTTTTTGTGGGTTATGTCACTCATCAGAAAGGCTACCGTTGTTATCACCCTCTTACCCAACGTACCTATGTCACTTTGGATGTGACTTTTCTAGAATCTGAACTGTTCTTCCATGACCCATCATCCAATTCTACGCTTCATGGGGAGATACGAAGTGAAGAGCAGAATTGGAGCAACTTGGAAAACGAAGAAATTCTCCTATGTACAGAAATGATTGATCATCCCGAGTTTGGAGCACAAGATTACTCTTTGCCGAAAAGCAACCAATCGCCCATTCATTGCGATCAATTACCTGACCCACCTGATCCATACGAAGATATTTCTTATCTGAGTCTCACACCTACAAACAATATAGAACAACAAGATGAAGACCCCCCTCTAACTCAACAGTACCAACAGACCAATCTCCTGAGAATATCCTTGAGGTAACTACTCCTACTAGACTTGTGCATTTAGAGGATAAAACTATTGGATATCAATTACCTTTCAGGCAAAATCGTGGGAAGCCACCAAACCGCTATTCACCTGATATTGGCAAGACATCCAAGTATCCAATTGCAAATCATGTATCCACTAAGAAGCTGTCTAAACCACTCAAGGCTTTTGTGCATCAGTTGTCTGCTATCCATATTCCAATCAAGGTCTCTGAAGCATTGAAAGATCCTAAGTGGGTCTAAGCTATAAAAGAGGAGATGAAAGCTCTTGAGAAAAATCAGACTTGGACATTGGAGACTATACCATGAGGAAAAAAGACTATCAGATGTAGATGAGTGTTTACTATAAAACACAATGCAGATGGATCTATTGAGCGATATAAGGCAAGACTTGTGCCAAAAGGGTACACACAGACCTATGGTATAAACTATGAAGAAACCTTTGCTTCAGTTGCAAAGTTAAGCACCGTCAGAGTCTTATTGTCCCTTGCAGCTAATTTGGATTGGTTACTACACCAGTTTGATGTAAAGAATGCTTTTCTACATGGCGAACTCACGGAGGAGGTGTACATGGACATTCCTCCTGGTTATAATACTACTCAGACTGGAATAGTTTGCAGGTTACGAAAAGCATTGTATGGGTTGAAACAGTCACCACGTGCATGGTTTGGACGGTTCACCATGGCAATGAAGAACAATGGTTTCAAACAGTGCAACTCTGATCATACTCTATTCTTGAAACATCGGAAAGGGAAGGTAACAACATTAATAATTTATGTTGATGATATGATTATTACTGGGAATGATAAACAGGAAATATCACAGCTACAAGACTATCTGGCTACAGAGTTTGAGATGAAGGATCTAGGTGGACTTAAGTATTTCTTGGGAATTGAGGTGGCTCAATCGCAGCAAGGCATATTTCTCAATCAAAGGAAATATGTCTTAGACTTGTTGACAGAGACAAGAATGCTAGATTGAAAAGCTGCAGACACTCTTATTGTTCAGAATCATCATCTTGGAGAATATCCGGATCAAGTTCCAACTAACAAAGAAAGATACCAAAGGTTAGTAGGAAGATTGATCTATTTGTCACATACTCGACCAGACATTGCTTATGCAGTGAGCGTTTTCAGTCAATTTATGCACTCTCCAAGTGAAGACCACATGAATGCAGTTCTTCGGATACTTAGATATTTGAAGTCTGCACCTGGAAAAGGACTTATGTTCTCAAAGCATGTTCATCTAAATATTAATGGTTATTCAAATGCAAATTGGGCAGGTAATGTAACAGATAGAAAATCCACATCGGGTTACTTCACATTCATGGGAGGTAATTTGGTGACATGGAGGAGCAACAGAATGTAGTAGCTTTATCCAGTGCAGAAGCCGAGTTCAAAGGCATGACTAAAGGGCTTTGTGAACTTCTTTGGTTAAGAAAGTTGCTTACTGAACTTGGGTAAAAACCTACATCTACAATGAATCTCTTTTGTGACAATAAGGCTGCTATAGCCATTGCACAGAATCCGGTTCAGCATGATCGTACTAAACATGTTGAGGTGGATCGACACTTCATCAAACAGAAGTTTGAGGCTAAAGTGTTTCAGTTTCCTTTTGTGAAATCCGAGGATTAATTGGTGGATATTTTGACAAAGGAGATTTCCAGTAAAGCATTCCACAATTCACTGGATCAGTTGGGCATTGGCGATATCTATGCACCAACGTGAGGGGGAGTGTTGGCGTGACTTGTGGATATTGACTTACTTTCCTTACACACCAAGAATTCCTATTATAATTATAATTGATTTACTTTAATTCTTGATTTCCTATTGTAAATAGATTTAGGAATTTATTATTTACTTGCTCATTCAGGTTTCGTTGTATTATAAATATGACCTCCTACAAGGAGAAGAATACATAGAAAATTCCCACAAACAAATATTCTCTCATAGTTTTCATATTTTAGCAGCTGCATCCACGCATCACTGGATTCTTTGCAAGTTTGATTGCTGAGCTGCTATCACAGTGAACAATTGTAGGCCTATCTTGCTTCTCACCAAGCATCTCAAAAATCCTTCTCAACCATACTACCTGACATGCACAAGAGGCAGTAGTAATGAACTCTGCCTCAGTGGTAGATAGAGTTACTATCGGCTGTTTCTTTGATGACCAGGACACAGCTTCTGAACTAAACAAGAAAACGTAACCTGAGCTGCTCTTCCTGTCTTTTTGGTCTGCAGCATAGTCACTATCTGTGTAAACATTCAACTCTCCTTTTCCTCCCTTCTTGTAGAACACCCCAAAATCAGTTGTTCCTCTTAGATATCTTAAAATTCTCTTTGCTGCCTCCATGTGAAGCTCAGTAGGATTACTCATATTCCTGATAATAAGACTTACCACAAACATCATGTATGGTCTAGTAGCAGTTAAATACATGAGGCTTCCCACAATTTGTTTGTAGATGGTGCTGTCTACTTTTACTCCATCTTCATCTCTCAACAATTTGCAACCTGGGACAATGGGATTAAGAACCGGATTGCTTTTATTCATTCCAAACTTTTCAAGCACCTCCAAAGCATATTTCTTTTGGCTAATGAAAATTCCATCAGTTCTTTGCATAACTTCTATACCTAGAAAATACCTTATCTTCCCAAGATCAGTCATATCAAACTCAAGCATCATTGATCTCTTAAACTCAACAAACATAGATTCATCATTGCCAGTAAATATGAGATCATCAACATAAAGACTCAAAATTAGAATTATACCTTCCTTTGCTGTCTTTGTGAACAAAGTGTGTTCATAATGACATCTTTCAAATCCTTCCTTCATGAAATAAGCCTCTATACGACTATACCAAGCTCGTGGAGCTTGCTTAAGTCCGTATAAACTTTTTTGAGCCTATAGACTTTCTGTTCATTGCCCTTGCGCACATAACCTGAGGCTGCTCAACAAACACTTCCTCATTTAATTCCCCATGCAGGAAGGCAGACTTCACGTCCAGCTGGTAGATTGTCCATTGTCTTTGAGCTGCAAGTGCTATTACAAGATGGATCGTATCCAACCGTGCCACATGTGCAAATACTTCTGTATAGTCTATCCCATGTTGTTGAGAATATCCTTTTGCTACAAGTCTTGCCTTATACTTGTCTACTTCTCCATTCTCATTAAGCTTCGTTTTATATACCCACTTCACTCCAATCTTCTTTCTCTAGCAAGTAACTCCTTCAATTCTCATGTATCATTCTTTTCTATTGCTTTGATTTCTAAATCCATGGCTTTTCTCCATTTTTCACTTTTCACTGCATCTTTGAAATGAACTGGATCAGCAACTGCAAGCATAACAAAATGAGCCACATAATCTTCTTCAGAGAGACCCTTTCCTGTTTCATAATCTTCCATCCATACTGGTGGTCTTCTATTTCTCCCTTCATTGAAATTGGGAGGATTTTCTTCAACTGGTTCATCTGAAGAAGAATTTCCCATTTCTTCTCATGTGGCATTATCAAAGTCAGCAGCACCTTCATTATTAAAATCTGCATCACCTTCTTCTTCATTTTCAGCGACTCTGGTTGCTCCTTTTTCATTGTTACCCCACTCCAAATCAGCTAATATCACTTCTTCATGTCTTTTGTCCCAATCCCAACTTTTATCCTCTTCAAACACAACATCTCTGCTTACAAGGATTTTCTGAGAGACTAGATCATACAATCTGTATGCTTTAGACTCCTCACTGACACCAAGCAAGACACACCTTAAGCTTTTATCATCCAACTTTGTTCTTTTGCTATCAGGTACATGTACATGGGAGACACACCCACAAACCTTGAAATAATCCACTGTCGGTTTAACTCCACTCCAAATTGTCACATCCCGGGATTGGCTTCGCTGTAGAACAATATTGTCTGCTTTGAGCCTCCTTCTCTGCCCTCACGGTTTTGTTTCTGAGAGCTCACGAGCAACTTCCTAGTGGGTCACCTATCTTAGGATTGCTATAGCCCCAACTTGATTAACTTCGGAGTTCTCATGACTCCGAAGCCAATGAGCTCCCAAAAGGCCTCGTGTTAGATGGAGGCGGGCATGTACATATAAGGCACATCACCCCCTCTCTGTTGGTAGATGTGAGATGTTACAATCCAACCCCCTTAAGGGCCCAACGTCCTGGTCGGCACACTCGCACCACACGGCAGAGTGGCTCTGATACCATGAAGGAATATGTTTCGGTGTTTTGAATTTCGAATGGGAGAAAAAAAAATTAAACTCCTTAAACAGTAGGAATTCTCATATCTTTTGATATTTATAAATAAAAAAATAAAAAAATCAACAATGAAAATTAAGTTTGGGTTGTAGTTTTTTCACGACTTCGATTTTGAATTTGATTAGGAGATGTTATGAAATCAAAGATTTCGGCAATCCAAGTCTTTCTATGAGAAGTAAAGTTCAAAGGGTTGTTTTCCCTGATAGTTGAACAATGAAATTATAATGATGTCTGAATTGGCTCAAGTTGAAATTTGAATTTCAAATCAAATGATAATGATGTCACACGCATGGCGGATATCATGGAATTTGAACACCCAAATTACTTGGGAGCACACCAAAGACTAAGTTCAATCCAATTAACACATCATTGGTTGGTTGGTTGGTTTAAGTCCTTCAATAACATCATGTTTGCAAGGATTCACTCACAACACATTCCAATCAAGCTATATATAGCAACATGATTAAAGAAATTGCATGGAACCTTTGTGCAAAGTTGAGTGTAGTAATAAAATATTTCTGATACTATTATTGTTGGACAAACTTCAGTACAAACTTGAGTGTAATCACACCGACACTATAGTCATGGTCATTCGTGTTCGGATTGGAAGCCTGCTTGTTTAGGTCATAAAGAGAGAAGAGCTATATGTTGAAAGATTGTATTCACTTTGAGGTGATATTACTCTTTTTGGTTTTCTGATTTTTATACATTGGTGATCCATGTCTCAATCTGACTATGATTAGGATTATTTGTTTCATATTTTTCGTTTATTCTTGGAAAAGAAATCAATTTCATTACTCAATCAGTATTAGTTTCCTTTTAGGAAAAGAGTTTGGCGAAAAATAAACCTTTTTTGCTAATGAATTGGTTGATGTCTGTGTATGAGTTTCCTTTTATAATAATGATGAACTCCAGTAGGAATGGGAAAGATAATCCTAATCCATTATGACTAGGAATGATAATTTCTTTTTCTGGTCAATAATGCTTGGGAATAATATTTTTTTCCCCCAAGAAAAACCCGAACATAAATTTTCGTCGTTGACTTAGAGTGGAAATAAAAGTTGTGATTAACAATTGGAATGAAATGTAGATTAACTTAAACTGCATAATTCTGGAAAATTAAAGAAGTGAAATTCAAGCTCAAGAGCAGGGCTCAGTTATCCCATCCCATGTCAGCAAAGAATCGTTAAGCTTAACTGAAATATTTGACACAGAGCTAAAATTTGACACAGAGCTAAAATTTGACAAGAAATTATCTCCCACCACAAAGAATGAGTGTGATTTCTTTTTAGCCATTGAAAATTGAGATATTGATATATACAAATTCTGTATCAATCAATCCCACATGTCTGGAATTGCGAAAGATTAACGTTCGCAGGTAGATAACGGAAACTGAAGAAATTCTGAAAAAGAAGTGAAATTCAAAGATGAAGAACTCTCACAACAATCCCATATATCTGTATCAATAATCAGTTGGCAACTTGAACCTACACAGAGGGCATACATGACCATACCTCAACCACTGTTCAATGCAATGTCCATGAAACATGTGAGAGCATGGCAAGCAAGTGACTTGATCCCCACTCAACATCTTTCCCAAGCAAACCACACAACGTTGATCGCTGCTCGAACCACATTGCACCCCTCCATCAAACACAAACTTCTCCAAGGCCTCAACTGATGCTCTAGTTGCAGGCATTGGGCTGAACACTGCTTCCTCTAATGACTCTCTCACGGCTGCTTCTGTCAATGCGCCATCGTCGATATCCCCAGTGTTTTGTGCTAATGTATCCAAGAAAGAGCGCATGTTTGCACAAGTTCTTATCATACTGTCCCGGAGGCTCAATAGCTTATCTAGAACATCCTCCATTTGATGAACATCATCAGCAGAAAGCATAACACTAGCCCGGAATGCAAGTGAGTGCCAGCCTTCCCTCAGCCGCTGTGCCCAACCCTCCCCTATTTGTTCAATAGCACCCGAAGAAAGTGCAAGCGGAGCATGATATGTCTCTATTTGCGCGTTCACCTCATCCCTGAGCTCCCTGTCCTCAACCTCCAACTGCTGCATTTCGTCGAACAGTTGGTGTGCAAGCATTGGAATCTCCTTCTCAACTGTGACAAGTATGCCAAGCTTCTTGTTAAGTCCAGCAGCTCCATGATTTTCCACCATGGTACTAGCCTCAAGAGCCATTCTGCTTACCATAGCTTCAACGCTCTCGAGTGGCTCTGTGTTGCCACCACCAAAACGCTGCGTTTTCCATCGGAGCCGGTCCAATGGGAACGGAATGTGCATTGCGTCGATCATGTTTGATAAAATATCTCGTGAATTGGACTTGAATGAGTGAAAAGGATGATCAAGTTCGAGTCTTGCATCGTAAGCTCTGGTGGTGGGCAGAGAAATATCTGAATTAACATTGTAGCTTACGACGACATTCAAAAGAATCGAGACCTCAGGAATCGGAATCGGAATGGGAAGCGATTCATCATCTGAGAAAGCTTTCTGCTCTACCGTGACAAAAATGCCATAGTCGTGGCTGCTGTTGGAACTGAAAGCTTGCATATTTGCTCAGAAATTTGCAGGTTCTTGAATTTCACGGGTATATATATATATATGACTAAAATCTAAAATAAAATTGGTATTTATTTATAGGCAACAAAAACTTGACTTACGTTGATTTTTTTTTTAAATTTTTTATAATGCCTTTCTTTTGCCAAATAAAAAAAATAAAAAATAAAATGGAGAAAATTGGGCACATAAATTGGGATTATAATATTTCATTTTTAGCACATTCTTACATGCTTGAAATTCCCAAGCTCATTAGATTTCCATCTTTAGTTTTAATACAATTTGGAACCAAGCATAAGAATGTTCATCGGAAACATCATGAAAATCACTTGAAAAACACCAAATTTAAAACACTACAATTAGTAGTAATGACAATTTAAAAGTAAAATAAATATGTTTACTTACTCCAACAGAATCGTTTGGAAACTACAATTTCATGAAAGTAGCGTTGGTTTTTATGATGCAGAACATATGGGAATGGGTTGCTAATGGTTTTTATGAAATTTCATTTTTAGCACGTTTTTAGAAAATAGCGTTAGAATGATCATTCGAATGAACATCATGAAAATCACTTGAAAACTCCAAATTTAAAACACTGCAATTAGTAATGATAAGCACAACTTTTGTTAGTATGATATACATTGTTATAATACTCATCATTCCTTGATACCATAATCGTTTCAAGGTCATGTGATAACATGATATCAAAATTTCATAGAGCTTTTAATCTCCCCCAAATTATTTCTACTTTTTTCCTATGTTCTGGGATTATCGGTATTTCTTGTTTAAGTGAAACCCAAGCACAAGCACAACTTTTGCCACATAAAGGAGACTGTCAAAGCTAGACTAAAACTAGCCATCGCATTTACCACAAATACAATCCCAACCCCATATATCTGGAATTAGATTAACTTAAACTGCATAATTCTGAAAAATTAAAGAACTGAAATTCAAAGCTCAAGAGCAGGGCTCGGTTATCCCATCCCATGTCGGCGAAGAATCATTAAATTTGACTGAAAATTCTCTTCCATCACAAATGCACCATGGTCATGGCCATGCTGACTGTTGATTGAAACCTCCATTTTTAATTAACTCAGAAAGTTTGTGCACATAAAGAAGAGAGATGTGAGAGGCTTTTTGTTAAGTAGTTGCATCAATGGATTAATTTCTTTCTATGCAAGAATGATTGTGATTTCTTTCTGGCCATAGGAAACTGAGATATATTTATATACAAATTCTGTATCAATCCCATATGTCTGGAATTGCAAAAGATTAACGTTCGCAGGTAGATAACGGAAACTGCAGAAATTCTGGAAAATAAGTGAAATTCAAAGCTTAAGGACTCTCACAACAATCATCCCATATATCTGTATCAAGAATTAGTTGGCAACTTGAACCCACACAGAGGACAGATATGACCATACCTCAACCATTGTTCAATGCAGTTGGCATGAAACATATGAGAGCATGGCAAGCAAGTGACTTGATCCCCACTCAACATCCTTTCCAAGCAAATCACACAATGTTGATCGCTGCTTGAACCGTTTAGTACCCCTCCATCAAACACAAACTTATCCAAGGCCTCAACTGATGCTCTGGTTGCAGGCATTGGTCTGAACATTTCTTGATTTAATGACTCTCTCAAAGGCTCTTCCATCAATGTGCCATCGTCGGTATCCCCTGTGTATAGTCCCAATAGATTTAAGAGTAGGCGCAGGACTGTACAATATCTCACTCCACTGTCCCGAAGGCTCAATAGCTTATCTCGAGACTCCTCCAATTTATGAATATCATCAGCAGAAAGCATAACAACACTATCCGATAATATAATCGAGTCCCAGTCTTCCCTCAGTTCCCGTGCCCAACCCTCCCAGACTTGTGAAGCACCATGTAAAGAAAGGTCAAGCAGAGCATCATTGGTCTGTATTCGTGAGTTCACTTCATCCCTCAGCTCCCTGGCCTGAACCTCCAACTGCTGCATTTCATCAAACAGATGTTGTGCAAAAATTGGAATCACCTTCTCAATCGTAAAAAGAATGCCCAGCTTCTTATTAAGTCCGGCAGCCGCGTGATTCTCCACCATGGCACTAACCACAAGCGCTATTTTGCTTACCATAGCCTCAACGCCCTCAAGTGGCTCTGTGTTGCCGCCACCAAAACGTTGTGTTTTCCATCGGAGCCGGTCTAATGGGAAGGGAATGCGCATTGCATCGATCATGTTTGATATAATATCTCGTGAATTGGACTTGAATGAGTGAAAAGGATGATCAAGTTCGAGTCTTGCATCGTAAGCCCTGGTGCACAGAGTATTATCAGAATTAGTGGTGTAGCTTATGAGGACATTCAAAAGAATCGAGACCTGAGGAATCGAAATCGGAATCGGAATGGGAAGCGATTCATCTTCTGGGAAACCTCTCTTCTCTACCGCGACGAAAATGCCATAGGCATGGCTGCTGTTGGAACTGAAAGCTTGCATATCTTTTGGCTCAGAAACTTGCAGGTTCTTGAGTTTCACCACAAACTTGAAGGTTCTTGAATTTCATCATTTGGCTCTTTCTTTTGCCCCTTCATTTTCTTCATTTTTTTTCATAGAAAGAATAACAACAATGCTTAACGGCAGCTCCTCGGAGAAACCATTAAAATTGAAGGCTAAAAAGGGGAAAAGTAGGTATGTATGTCTTTTATTCGGCAAAATTTTGTCAAAATACAACTAAAAAGTTCAGCTATTATCTAATATTTTAATATAATTTTTTTAATATATACAATTTTTATTCAATAATAAAAATAAGTGAATTTTATGTATTATTCAAAATTTTGTAAAAAATACGTGTATTAAATGTGAAAAATGCATATATACATGCATTATATGTTTGCTTTTAAAAAACGTGTATTTTACCGAATCTTTAAGACAATATGGAAAACGGAATTATTATTAAAAAATATATATGTGTATAATACGAGTATTAAACAAGAAAATGCTAACTAAGCTTTCAATTACATTAGCTTCGTAACAAATGCATCCCAAGTTCTCACAAAATAAATTTGGAGAAAATTGGGTACATAAACTGGTGTTCTAGGCTTTTTATGAAATTTCATTTTTTAGCACATTCTCCTATAGTCAGCAGACTTGAAATGTCCAAAATTAACATGGTATATAGTTATGTCAAATTTTCTTTAGTTAAAATAGAATTCAATATAATTTCCATTTTTAATTTTAACGAAACTTGCTCATTATTATGATTATTGTACTCATTCCTTCTAGTGTAATCGTTTGGAGGACACATGATTACCTAATTTGATATCAGAGTTTTGGTTCCCAGAGGTCTCCAATTAATCTCCCCCCAATTATTTCTACTTATTTCCTCCAATGTGGGATTATCGGCATTTCTTGTTTAAGTGAAATCTATATAAACTTAGCTCTTGTTACTTCATCCTCAAGTTTCACCACCCTATCTGCAAGAACCTCCAGCCGTTGGACCTAATCAGAAAGCAAGATAGCATCATTACCTCTGCCATAGTGAATCCCTCTCTTCATTATGCAAAAAGCTTGTGGGGACTTAAAATAATTGAGTACTAATTTGTTTTTGGCAAGAAATTAATTCCAGGAGTCAAGCATGTTGCGTCATGTTTTCTAATTTATTATTTTATACAAGCAATTAATTATTCTAATTAATTTAATTTACGGTAAGGGAATTCGAATTTGAATGCGTATTATTTTGTGTTTTAGTTTGTTATGTTGTGTAAATCTAAACTAAAACCTCTCCGCATCATTAAAAAAAACAAAAAAAAAAAAAAAAAAAAAAAAAAAAAAACAAAAATTTTTTTTTTTCATGATTAAAAAAAAAATAAACATGTTCCGGTCGGTATAACATCTGGTATAGATTTTTGGGGTCAAAATATCGTCTAGTGGGTGGACTGTCTGATTTCTATTCACCTAATTTAACTTTCTGTCTCTCTTCCTACTCTGCAAGCTGCACAAAAATGGCTTTGCATGCTCCAGTCAATAACCAGCAGTCTCAGATTCACCGTCTAAATCTCCATCATCGAACCCAAATTCAGCTCCGAAATCTCTCTTTCAACATCCCAATCTCACAGTCTCGAGGCTTCTCCCTTCGTTATCGCTCGATTTCACATCCTCTGTTGTGTTAGTTTCTACGCCATTTCTCTCTCAATCCGATACATTACTTTACTTCCCGGCGCTTATTTTCATTTGGGTTTATCGTGTTTCTTGTGTGCAGTGCGCAGATGTGTATCGGAGAAGATTTCGGGTTCTTTCAATTCGGATTCGGGTCGAAATTATGCATCCGAACCACCGCAGGTGCTCTTTGTTCCTGACTTTTTCTTTTACCTTTTTTTTTTTTGTTGTGATTTTTTATATTATTTTGTTGCTTACTTTTATGAACCTCTATCCTTTGTTTGATTAGATTATAGTAGACAGATCACCTGCGTATTGTTTATGCAATGTGATCAGGTTAGAGTGGGATGAGAGTAGATTATTGGAGGAATAATAAATAATAATAAAAATGATAGTGATCCAATTAAAGGATTTAAATCTTTTATAATTTTTTTAATAAAACTGACAGAGATGTAGTTGCTATCTTTATTATTTGGTTTTTGTTTTTTTCTTGGGAGAGTTATTTGGTGATTGACAAAGATAGTTCTCACCTGCTTACATCAAAATTATTGTTAGGATAAATGTACATCCCTAAATGCTTTTATTTTCTTTACATCTAGAAAATTTAATCTTTAGTATCTTTTTCTTCCTAAGAGTTACAACTTTCAATTTACTTACAATAATGGGTTGATTCTAACGCCAATCTTTTCTCTTACTCATCAAAAGAAAATTTTATGAAATGACTATTTTATTTAGTTACTGTTTTTTTTGTTCAAACTTCACCTTTTCATTTAGTTTTGTTTCATATAATCACCTTAAAAAAGCAAAAATTCACCATATCCTCAATTACTTTCGATTTTTGAATTTTTTAAGTGTAAAACAAGTGAACATAAATAAAGAAAAGGGCCAGTCATGGCGCGCATGGTCAGCTGGGGGAGAGGGGAAAGGTTGATGACATTGACAGGAGATGGAAGGAGGGAGGGTGCTCAATTTTGTTTTGTGTTTTTCTTCCAATTTTTCTTTTCATTTTTCGAAATTATATAAAGAAGGGTAAATATGTATCAAAAATTGAGGGGATCGATGAGCAAGATGGGTGCCGAGAGAAGTACTCTGAAAAGAGTAGAGTGAGTTATTTGAAAATAAATGTAATGAGGGGCTTCACTGATAGAAAAAGTCAGACCAATCCAAACCTCAGCTTGGCTTGGTTCATTTACACCCCTCATTACTGTTCATTTTACAGGGCATTTGCAAAATATTTTCGGGCCATATTGATTGTAGTTATTGTATGTCTCATTTCAGATCCCTCAACAAAATAATGTTTCTTTTGTGGAGGTCCTGAAGAAATCAAATTCTTTCCTGCCACATGTAACTCTTGCTAGTACGCTGTTGGCTCTTGTCTTTCCACCTTCTTTCACATGGTTTACCAACAGGTTCTTGAACCTTGTTTAGATAAATTGGTTGGTCAGTCAATAATTGAATATTTTGTTTACACTATTCCATTATAGAGACAATGAGCTACTTCCAAGGAAGGTTGACTTTTAACATCACTGTGCTAAAAAATGGAGTTTGGCTGAATGCAGTTGTGGTCCTTGTGTATACATTTTATTTTAAAGGGGAAAACTAAGTGAATGAACAGGAAAGAAGAAGAAATTCATCCAATCACAGTTAGAAATATAATTTGTATATATTGGCTTGTTACGTAAAATGCATTTGGAATTAGTGAGTACCGGGTCTTGGCTATTTCTATGTTGATTGTGTATTCTCTTTGCTGCCTAACATGTCGGGGAAGCTTTAGTTCATTTTCTATGTAAATTGTAATTCATTGCATAAAACACGTGTACTTTTATTGTAAGCACACTTTTCATCCTATAGTTGACTTGCGGCCTCTTCCCTTTGTTGTAAATTGTAATAACAGTCCCATGCTCATGTGGTGGGCACTTTTGCAGTTTTCCATTCATTTAATTAAACAGACATGGACAGAGGGATCTAATTGTTTTGAAATCCAGATTAAAACATTTTGCAAATTACAGAATGAAGAGTGAACTTCAAATTAAGTTGTATTTCCTGCCCTGAAGTATTCTGGTGCAGCTATTGGAAGGTGGAAAGTTTAGATTTGATTATGTCGATGTGAAATTAAATGTCGTATCCATTGAACAAATGATATTGTGCTAAGGACATGCTTATAATTGTGTTCTTGCAATATCGTTCCAGGTACTATGCACCTGCCTTGGGGTTTTTGATGTTTGCAGTGGGGGTTAATTCCAGCGAAAAGGATTTCCTCGAAGCTTTCAAGAGACCAACAGCTATTCTTGCTGGTTATATTGGCCAATTTCTTGTCAAGCCACTTCTTGGATATATTTTTGGCATTATCTCAGTAGCAATATTTGGTCTTCCAACTCCAGTAGGTATGATTCACCCTGCCTCGCTGTCAAAACACCCGGCATGGATGTACTAAATTTTCTTGAATCTGTGATCAGGTGCTGGAATTATGTTGGTATCTTGTGTTAGCGGCGCCCAGCTCTCAAATTATGCTACTTTTCTGACGGACCCGCCAATGGCCCCTCTAAGCATTGTCATGACATCACTGTCTACTGCTACTGCAGTATTCATCACACCACTCTTATCGCTCTTGCTCATCGGAAAGAGACTGCCTGTTGATGTAAAGGGAATGGTGTCCAGCATTCTGCAGATTGTAGTTACACCAGTTGCTGCAGGGTTGCTTTTGAATCGGTGATACGCCAACTCTGAATAACATTCTTTTAGCCCAATGTTCACTTGTAGAGATTCTGACTTGTCTATTGTAATTTCGCCTTCAGGTTCTTTCCCCGAATATGTGATGCTATTCGGCCATTTTTGCCTCCGTTATCTGTATTAGTTACAGCTTGCTGTGTTGGAGCACCACTTGCCATTAACATTGAGTCTGTTATGTCTCCTTTTGGACTAACCATTTTGTTGCTGATTATCGCATTCCATTCGACTGCTTTTGTAGCTGGTTATTTCCTTACTGGCATGGTCTTTCATAAGACACCTGATGTCAAATCACTACAAAGAACACTATCCTATGAGACAGGTTCCTCCTTTGCCTTATCAGTGCATAATTCTAATTTATGAAACTAACAAATTTTTTACTTTTGCAGGAATGCAAAGCAGTCTTCTGGCCCTTGCCCTTGCAAACAGATTTTTCCAAGATCCACTTGTTGGAGTGCCTCCGGCCATCTCTGTGAGTCAATGTCTTGGCTTAAAAACCATTTTTTTTTCTTTTCACCAATTCATTATTGGCTAAGATGACTTGGAACTCTACTACAGTTTGGAGAGATCATTGTTTCAAATTTACATTTTGCTTTGTTCCAAGCAATATGCACACATTGTCTTTCACCCCTGCTAATCTGTCTTTCAATATGCACACACATTGTCCCAAAAAAATAAGGTTACTTTTTGTTTTGTTGCACCAGGTGTATTATTGACATGTTCACTGTATTTAACTGTGATCTGCAGACTGTAATCATGTCTTTGATGGGCTTCTCTCTTGTCATGGTTTGGGCCAAAAGGAAAGAATAACTAGACAAAATAGATCTCAAATTCTTTGAAGTTTTCTTAGTGGTTCTTGATGGATTGCATATTAATGAATTGCAATCAAGAATGATTGAAGTATTTTTGTTTTTCTTTAGTGTTTTTTAATAATTGTACACTTTTAATTTCTAGTGCTAAGATTTGTATCAACTCATTTTGTAATTTGTATATTATGCCTAAGGCAGTAATTATGGAATTGAACATGATTCACATGGAAAATATTCATAAATTTTGCAATCATTTAAATTAAGATTAACATTCCCATTGTTTTTGTAGATCCTTTTCTTTTGGTACATGGGGTCCCCATGAAATTGTGAGTATCCAAGTTGTTTATGTGGAAGCTCAAAAGTTACCCGCATTACCCAAAACAAAAAATAAATGAAGGGAAGTTGATATAGCTCAAGTGGTTAAAAGTATTTTTACTCATGCGCTTGAGGTTTTATGTTCAATTTACTCCTCCAATATTACTTGTATAAAAAAAATGAAATATCTTGAATGTTCATGTACATTACATTCAATTAGCTTTTTTTAATTTAATTTTTACCCAAAACCTTTTCCTCACAAACCCCTTTCCCCTCCAACGTTCCTTACACGCCCAAAAGCTCAGACCCGACCTGCAAAGTCCCTCAGTCAAAATGGTACCCCGAAGCGTAGGCAGACGAATCAACCGATTGACACAAGGGCGTATTAGCCTAATTGAAAAAGCAAACCGACTTTTTTAAATAAATAAAGACTCAAACTACCAAGGAAACTTACCTAATTGTCTAAGGTTTTCTTTTTAATAAATAAAAAGTCGATAGAAACCTACTTGTCTAAGGTTTATTATTCGCCAAACTCTTTCCTAAAAGGAAACTAATACCTGATTGAGTAATGAAATTGATTTCTTTTCCAAGTATAAACGAAAAATATGAAACTAATAATCCTAATCCTACTCGGATTCATACATTGATCACCAATATATAAAAGGTAGAAGACCCCAAAAAGAGTAACGTCACCTCAAAGTGAATAAAATCTTTTCAACGCATAGCTCTTCTCTCTTTTTGACCTAAACATGCAGGCTTTCAATCCCAACACGAACGACCATGACTACAGTGTTGTTGTGATGGTAGAAAACAGAGGCTTCCCAGATGATCAATCCCTTGTGAAATTTCCTCAAGTCTCAATTGCTTGGAATGTCTTCAAGAGCTACCATGTTGTTCAAGATGGTACCGGCACCACCACTCGATCGAGAAATCCGATCACAGACCCGGACACAACACACAAATTTAATGCTCTACAATCGTTACCGTCACATGAAATTATATCCAATATGTTACATGAGATACACATCTCATTCCCATTAGACAGGCTACGCTGGAAATCGAGTCGTTTTGTGAAGGACACTGAGCCGTTGAACAGCGTTGACGACACGATCAACAACATACGACAGGTCATTGATGGGATGGTTAGTGCAGGACAACGTAAGAAGCTGGACGTGATTGTCACGGTTGACAAGCAGATTAAGATCTCACAGCAACAATATGATGCAATGGTTGCAAGGAGGGAGGTTGAACATATGTTAAAGGATTTCCGTTCTATGCTTTCACGTGAAGGTTTGCTACAACAGCCACATGAGGGGGCACGTGACCAAGCTACGAGTAGTGTTGATGCTTTAAGGTGGCGATTGGCTCGGTCGCATTTGAATGAAATAAGGTCACGTGCAGCCGCTGCAGGGATGCTCAATAATATTAATGTTAATTTTGATTATGGAGGAAGTTTGGATGTAAATGAAATACTGATAGAAATGGGGAGGTTGATGGAGGAGCTCTCAGATGACCATCAAACTCGACTGCTTAGGCTAAAGCCTGCAACGAAAGCTTCGGTTGAGGCATTAGCGAAGTTAATCAAAATTGATGGAGTAAATTATGGTACTAATAGTGAGTATTGTGTGGTCTGCATGGAGAAGATGTTGAGTGGGGAAGAAGTCACGTGCATGCCATGCTCTCATTTGTTTCATGCAGACTGTGTCGTTCAATGGTTGAAGTTGCGTCACACGTGCCCTGTCTGTAGGTTCAAGTTGCCGACTGACTGATGGAGGTTCATAGTTTAAGCATCAAAATTGAAAAAGTATGATCTTTTGTGTAATTTTTATGAAGAGTAAGTACATATAGGTTGTAGGACAAAGGGTTAAATGAAGTCTCTGTTTTAATCTTTTGTCTTCCTTTATAGAAACAATAAATTGTAATATGGGATTGGGTTTCTATTTTTCTTTTATATATGAAGAATTTATCATTTTCACCTTTAATACTCGTATTGTACATGTACGTACATATTTTTTATGTTTAATGCATTTGTTTTTTACAAAATTTTCAATATTACACACAAAATACTCACAAATTATTGAATAAAAATAAAATATATTTAAATATTTAAATATTCACTAAGTAAATAATAATTAAAACATAATTACTATATAAAGTAATTATCAGATTATATGCTGTTAATTGGGTATAGCCGAGCGGCTATACTTAAAAAAACATTCTGTTCCACATTAAAACAGGCGGTGGGCGCCAGGAGACAGGCGGTTCCTCCTTTTTTTTAATAAATAAATAGTACGGCCGTGCGGCTATACTCTGGATTTTTTTCAATATAAAAAGGAGTATAGCTGGGAGGCGTTGCTGGGGTTTTTTTTAATATAATTTTTTTTTATATAAATAGTATCGCAGAGCGGTGTGGCTATACTCTTGGCATAGATATTGTGATTTAAAAAAAAATATTTTTTTTTTTTTTTTTTTTTTTTTTTTTTTTTAGAGTAGTTTAGTAGTATTATTCATTACTATTAGGCCATTACTAGAGTCTCTATTGTCCCCTTTTGAGTTTTTTATTTTTCCAAAGTAATTACCCATATTAATATAATTTAGCATTTTTACGTTTAATACTCATATTGTACGTACATATTTTTCATGTTTAATACACTTGTTTTTTACAAAAATAAAAAATAAAAAAATCGCATATCAATTAAGGGTGGGAACGGTCTGTTTTGGATTGGTTTTTGCCTCAAATTAGAACAGAATTCAGTACTATTCATCCGGTTTGGTTCGATTAGGTTTTAACAAAAAAAATTCAAAAACTGTCCGATTTAGTTTTGAATCAGATTATTTCAACTGAAATTTTATTTTTTTGACTTGAAAATTAATAAATTATTTAATTTCATATAAAGATAAATATTAAAGCTAGAAAAAAGAGATGTTTTGAAATTGAACTTGGATAAATACTAGTTATGAGATTAAAAATATAGCATTGAATATAATTATATATTGAAATTATATATTTTTTAATTTGACTGGTTCGGTTTGGCTCGGTCTAGTTTTTGAAGACATAGAACTGATCCAAAACCAGTCCAAACCGATCCGATTCGATTTTTGACCGATTGTTGACTTTTTGGCAACTCGGTTTTTTTTCCCTTTTTTTCGGTGTGGTTCGACTTGGATTACCAGTTTGCCAGTTTGAATGCCCACCCCTACACATTATTGAATAAAAATAAAATATATTTAAATATTTAAATATTTAAATATTAATTATTCACTAAGTAAATAATAATTAAAACGTAACTACTATTTAAAGTAATTAAAAAAGAGAAATTCATATTATGCTATTAATTGGGTATAGCCAAGCGGCTATACTGAGAAAAAAAAAATCGCACTAGGCGCTAGGCGACACCCAATTCCTCGTTTTTTAAAAATAAATAGTATAGTCATGCGGCTATTCTAGCATTAATTTTTTATATATATAAAAAGGGTATAGCTGGTCGGCGTTACTGGGTTTTTTTTAAATATTTTTTTTATAAATAGTATAGCCGCGCAGTTATTTTCAATGTTCACTAAGTAAATAATAATTAAAACATAACTACTATTTAAAGTAATTAAAAAAGAGACATTCAGATTATGCTATTAAATGGGTATAGCTGCCCGGCTATACGTTGAAAAAAAATCTATTTACAGAGTATACCCGAGCGGCATTACTCTTTTTACTAAAACACGCGTTGGGCGCTAAGCACTAGGCGATAGCCGCCGCGGGTCATCTATATATATAGTATAGCCTCGCGGCTACACTCTGGATTTTTTTATTTAAAAAAAGAGTATAGCCGCACGGCGTTACTTGGGGCCTTTTTTATTTGTTTTTTAAATAAATAGCATAGCCGCACGGCTATACGCTTTGCATAGACACTATGATTTTTTTAAAAAGATGAACTACATAACATAGACAACATGATGGAAGCCTGAAAACCATGTGAAGCATCATCAATCTCATCTCCATGTGAAGAGATCATCCCAGCAAGAATAGCTGCCAAACTATTTGGCTCCATACGGCATTAGAAGAAATATTTTGGTTCCATACGGCTAGCAAAAGGCAAAAGGATTCATTCGGCAATCCAAGACTACATAAGGGCATTATTGTCCAAAAATCCTAAATTAGGGATAAAGCTTCTAGCATAATAATAAACCTAAAATTGCTTGTAATTGCTTTTTATCTTCTAGTTTATCTGGATTGTATTTTTTTCTCTAGGTTGTTTTCCTAATTTGGGACACTTTGGTCTAATATGTCCTACTTCACCACAAAGATAATATTTACATGTACTTTTATTGGGTACTTTATACTTTCTAATCCATGGTTTATTTGTTCTTTTCCTAAATTGTTTAAGGATATATTTTCTTGTGTAAATTCATTTTTAGACAAAGAAAAATATCCACTTTTGTAAAAGACCAAAGACAAAACCAAAAGGACACAAAACCTTTGCATCTTTGGAACTAAAGATATGCATGTCCCTCAACTAAGCCAAAGGCAGCATGTGAAGGAATCTCCGCTGGCACAAAAACCAACCAAGCCATGCAACAGAACACCATCAGAAAAGCCATATGCAACCAAGAGCCTTGTCCTTTTCTTACATGTGAACGTATTGTTTGTTTTCCGTAGGACCATGTGAAGTCATGTGAAGTGTAAACATGTAT